ACAGGAGGAGAGCAGGCCTCATGAACGTCACAGGAAGACCCTTTCCCTTGGGGGGGTGGGACTGTGTACCTGGTTGGCAAGCCCATGGCACAGCACCCGCTCACTCCCCTGCTTGGCCACACCCTCCAAGCCAAGCAAGGTCAAGGCTGGGAGAGACGCATGGCGGACGTCTTGGGAATGGGCAAAGGAAAGCCAAAGTGTGCCTGCCTGCGAGCCCCTGAGGGGCATCCCTCTGCTCTCACACGCGAGGTCTTCGGACCGTGGCGAAGGCTGAACAGGCAGCTGCAGTGGCTCAATCCCACGCCACACACACTCACATACACCCCAGCCACACACACACACACACATTTCTTTCCGGCCGCCTCCCTCCGCCGTGTGCCTGAAAGCGCAACTCAGCCAGGCCACTGTGACAGGACGACCCAGCCCTGCCCGGCTGGCGGTTCAGGCCCCCATGGCTCCATCCGCCACAGCTCACCTGGTCAAGCAGCATTTGGGCCAGATCCGGGTGGCTGGTGCGCAGCTGGCTGAGCTTCCTGACCAGGGGGTGCCTGGAAGGGGGAGAGGGCGTGAGGAGCTACCCCCCCCCCCCCCCCCGCCTGCAGGGCTGCTTGCTTCCGAGTGCCCAGAGCTCAGCCCCCCCCCTTGGGCCCGTACTCACCCTGCATTTATCTCCAGCGTCGGCTGCAGGATCTGGGCCCGCTCTTCGCTAGTCTTGGCCAACTGTTGCATGCGCAGGAAGTGGCGGGCAGCGCCCATCTCCAGCACGGTAATCATGGCTGGGTGTGTATCCAGCCGCGGCGTCACCTGAAGGACAGCCACACCTGAAGACCTGCAAAGCCTGCCTGCCTCTGCCCCGAAGCCGGCCGGGGGCTCCCATGGAACGCCACCCTCCCCGTTTCCTCACAGCACCCTCAGCCCTCCACAGAAATACCTCCTTGATTCAAAAGGTTGAGTTCCCCGCACACACACACACACACACACACACACACACCCAGGAGTGCATGCCTCCCCGATCGGCCTTCCCTTCCCCAGCCAGCGTTCCCCTCCCTGGGTAGGCTTGAGGTATGTGTGGGGGAAGCAGGGGAAGAAAGCAACTTCAAATGCATTCTCAGAGCTCCCCCCTCCCCGCAGGCTGGCTTGGAGGAGGCATTTAAAGTTAAAGTCGCTTTCTTTCCACCTCTCCCTCCCTCCCATCCATTAGCTTTCTTTGTTCTCTCTCTCTCTTTTTCTCTCTCTTTCCACCTCTCTCTCAGACAAATAAATATAATTAGCAAACAAATAAATATCACTGGACAAATAAATATCATTATCCGTATCGGGTTTTCCTCCTTTTGTTTTTATTTTGGGCAGTCTCATTTATAATGTTAATAAAAAGCAAAACTGCATATTTTTTGTTCATGTCTTGCGACTCTCAAACTTCTGGAATTTATTCTATGTGGCTCTTATGTTAAAGTAAGTTTGTCCATCCCTCATCTATATGGTAGTAAACACTTCTTCCCTTCAGATAAATACAGCAGTCTCTCTGCCTTGGGGATGGAAAATCAGGCACATTGTTGGAACTGCAGGATAGCCTGTTAACTCCCCAGGGGCACCCACCCACCCACCCACCCACCGCCAGCAAACCTGCTGCCGTTATCCACGACCCACAATGCCCCACGTCCACTCTCCCCACCCCGCCCCTCTTGCCTTGACAGCAGCCACCCGTGGCCCCAGAGCATTCCTCATCCAGGCCAGGAGGCCCTCTGCGTCCTGTGAGCTCAGGTGTTCCTCTGCTGCAGGTGAAGGAGGGAAGCAGAGAGAGATCATCATCATCATCACTTCAAAAAGGGCAAGATCGTTCAAGTCACAGAATCCTTTACTTGGGTTTTGTTCAGAGATGTGAAGACCCAGCAGAAAAAACATATACACTTGGGGGAACTGGTTTTCCCCTATTTTCCCCCAAGGCCGCCTTTCCAGGTTTTCTTATGGAAAATCGAGAAATTTGGGGGAATATTGGGGGGGGGGGGAACCTCCTATGAACCGTTTTCTCTTTTAGAATGAGTGAAATCCTCTTAAAGACAAACTGGGCATGCTGTAGACTCAGACAGCTCTTAAACCCAATTTGCATTTCTGCACCTAGAAGGAGACCAAAACGACAGGAAGGGACTCCCCCCCCCCCCCCCCCCGCGGGGCTCTCCTTACG